TTTGTCGGTAATGGTATTACAAAAAATCATTTTGGTTTATTTGGAATTCAAGGACTACCCACAAAAACCGTCATCATTAATTTTTCCAAATATTACTTATACTGACATGAATGAAGGAATTCCAGAACTTCTTATGTACTTGGCAAACAATGGATTCTCTATTTTTGGGTTGGAGGTAGGAAACTGTTCAAACATGTAATGAAGTATACAAACATGTTTGATCAATTAATTAATGGACTTATTAAAAATTGTTAAATTAGATAACTTTTAGTGCTATTGCGACTGTGATTTATTTTTCTATGGATTTGTATGCATTATTATGTGCTTTATGGCTTTTGAGATTTGCTGTTAAAAGCAGACAAACCGTTTCAATTTATTGGTCATATTTTGTAATATTTGTGTACTTAGTAATAATAATCAAGTATGTGTTACATATTGAAACAACATTTAATCACAATTCTGGTAATCTTTATGATTTTATGCATTTTTAAAATTATGTTATGATGTTTTATTGTTTTAAAATACAAACTGTTTTCAAGGAATTCCATGGAAAACAATCAATACTATAAATAATTCAACAATAATATTATATGATGAAGGCTATAGCGCTTTGATACGGCCATTATCATGTAAGATGTTGTTTACCAAAAACTTGAATGTATTGCAAAATTATCTTTTTAAATTACTCCACAGCATATGATTTTATATTGTTAGTCTTTGCATCACATCTATTGACAGTTTTTAAAAAAGAGCGTTCACAATTATCACATGGAAACCATTTTCAAGAGAATAATAATGCAACCTATGAATATTTTCCGAATTATTTATTCCAAACTAAGTTTGTTTGGATAGAATAATTTGAAAATGTATTATATTTTACATACAATGTTTAATTTCAGAGCGTACTTGGACGTTTTGAAAAAAATAGTTTTCAATAATTCTATGTGGTTAATATTATTTTTCATATTTTGGATTGGTACAAGTAATGTTAACATATTTTCTCTTGGCTATTTATGTGCTGGCACTTTATTCTTTTGGAAAGGTACATACTATTTTCTAATGCCATTGAACATGATACTTAAACAGTAAGTAAAACTATTAACATTTTCAATTTATTTAAAAATATAATAATTGTAAGTTAGCATAATTATTCACAAATAAAGAATAAAATTTCAAGCATAAACAAATGTGTTATAAAAAATATGTAACTAGATATTTATACAATTATACACATAGCTCTAGTGTTCTATAAAACAATAATAATGAAAAATTATCAACTATTAAATTTAAGAGTTATAGGTACCTACCGGATAGGTATTGTATTTTTTATATTAATTTTCAGTTGGAATGGTTTATTGAAATACACTATTACAGTGATGTTGAGTAAAGTACTATTTCATTTATTAGGATGTTGGCTTTTAAACTATTTCGAATGGCATTCATGTATTTTTATGCGTGTTTTTTCAATATTTTGTCCAGTACAAAATTCAAACGAACGTAAATATGATTCGTTAAAAATTTGTTTATTTACTTACTTTTTTTTTCTATTTTTTTAAATTAGAAATTTGTGGACCATTAAAAAATGATATTTGTTTATATATGGATGTGTTTATATTTATGTTGGTATTGTTTCAAAGACGGTTTTTTGAAAGTGGATACTTTCTTCAACTAATTGATGATACAAAAATAGTAGCCGTAGTCGCTGCCAAAATGTGTCATATAGTCAATGCATGGGAGCAATCTAAGAAAGATATGAGTCGTCAAATAGATTTAGATTCGCTGGAAAAAATCAAAGTAAAAGTTAATAAAATTAGAGAGTCAAAAAATCGACTAAGTAAAATGCAATCGAAACACGCCAGTGGTATTTTTAATCTTCTTATTTAAAAATGTACAGAATCATTAATATTCCTTTAAAATGGATATTTCACAGCTTGTTTAGATGGTGAATTTATGTTTGAGAAAATTTATGATGATGTATATTTAGTTGTAAAATATGACTCTAATATATTTTCTAAATACCATGGAGATTCTGTAAATGGCTCATGGCTATATCGACAGTTTGTTTACTTTGTGTATCATTTAATAGAAAAAATGAATAGATATTCTGAAGAACATAGGCAAATAATGGAAACATTAAACGCAGAAAAAAAATTACTTATGGTAGGTTTGTACCATTATTAGGTTTATAAGCATATTATACTGCCATCTATTACTATACCTACTTATTTTTTTCTGTTTCGACTGTGAATATATATTTGGTCTCACATTGTTTATTTAATATAAAATGTTCATCGAATTAGTCTCTCAGAGTTGACAGCACTATAGTCATTACCACAAATTTTAAGTGGGGGAATGTAGAGCATAACGTGGATTTATGGCGAAAAGCATTGGCGTTCCAATATTTATATCTCATACTGGTAACAATGTTTTAAAAACTGGATTTCGTCATAGACTTAAAAAACCTCCTATGTGCCAAATTTACGATTTTGAGGTGGGAGTGTCCCTAGATTAAGAAAAAGAAAATTATAATTTTATAATATCACTTATGGGTTATTGCCCATCTTCGTTGTAGAATAATGAAAAATAATAAATAAATCCTTCCATGTGTTACCTACTTTAAATCGTTTATGAAATACATCCCATGTAATTAAAAATGTATAATATAACACCAACTATATTCAAAATATTGTGTGATATTAAAAAAACAACCTATGGTACCTAAAGTTGGTAAAAAATATACTATGATAAAACATACAATATGTCATAATACAAACAATAAAATATTATTGTTCTATTTATTCTACTTTAGCGAATATAGAATGTTTACTCCAATTTTCAAATCAAGTATTTAAACAGACTTAAAGTTTTCTAGTTTCTGTAAATATTTGTCAATTTGTTTTTATATTTTAAACTTTTTTGTCTCTTTGACAAAATCAGGTTGTAGAATATTTTTGCATGTGGATAGTGATAGATAGAATCGTATAAGATTAGTAGGTGCAGAGTAGGACCGTGGATATATTCTTGTGTATTATATTACCTATGTATATAATATTAATTATATGCATAAAATGTGGATAAAAACAAGTTAAAAGTTTATAATTTTATTTATCAAAATAAATATTTTAACTTTGCAAGCATTTATTTTTCTTTATTATTTTACAATTATCGCATGAATACAATTATTTATATACAATAAAAGTAAGTAGGCACAACTTTATTAATTTAATTTCATCTACTATTTGACCCATATATGAAGCAAAATGGGGTAAAAATGACTTGTTATTTCTCTGAGACTAAAATTAATGGTTTTTCAATAATTCAATTGACTTGTGAGCTATGATAATATTAATTTACATATTATTAAAATCATATTGTACTTGTATTTATAGAAGTAGGTTTATCAAAAAAATTAAGGATTTAGACACATGCAAACCTTTACATCTCTGTTTCCCCCATGTTCCACTATTACTTTAAGCATATAAATTAAACTTATGAAAGAAAAACTGTGATGGCATTTTTTTCTGAATAGTAAAACTACCTAAGGAAAAACGAATGTAATTTTTTACATATCAGTTGAATTATTCTCCTATTGATGTTTTAATATAGAAAGATTCAGAACTGTTTAAATTGGGTCAACACAAAGGATCTTCAATGTTATGGACTCCGATACAAAATGTTTTAAACATTTCAAACTATGAGTATTTATATTTATTTATTAAATATATAGGTAGTATTTATGTTGGTTTTGTTTTGTATTTGTCACCATGTGTTCACTTTGTAGCATGCCCTATTACGAAGATATTAACAAACATAAGCACTGGTCAGTACAACTTATTTTGGCAATTTGGAATGTAATACAATCGTCTACACATGTGTTATGTTACTTCTCTATATTTTACAACGCAATTCAAAACTCAAACGATCTAATATCATTGATACCTGTCACAATGGTATTGTTGTGGGGACAGTTATCGGTACCCAGACCAACGAAAACATTTTGGATTGTTTTAATCACGTACATTCAAGTAAATGAAACAAATGCATCATAAACCATAAATGTGTACTACCTATATATTTTATTTTACCAGATCACAGGCTTAGTGAAGTATATTTGTTCTTTTCAAGAAATTCCGTGGATAAAAGAGGAAGAAGCATTACAGAAAATAAGTTTAGCAGAGTTTTATTTGTATCCAACCTTGCGCATCGGGATTGGAAACTACTCAAATACAATACTAAAAGATGTAGTTGTTTTATTACTATTGTTTTTACATAGGTAAATTGATATTATTTCATAATTATTCACAATAATACTGACAAAGTAAACTTATAGACGGACATTGGTAACATTAGGCCTTTGGACATGTAATGACCAGCATAAAGGATGGATTGTCAATAAGAAAATGTTAAAATATAAAAATGCAAAAATAGCATCATTAAGGATGATGATATTTAAGTAAATATAAGTTACATCAGCCATGTTTAGAATTGGAATGTTTTACGAAATTCTCGAAATTTAAATTTAAAATGTCTAATGTTGAATTAACCTTGCAAGTATCAAAACCCATTTAAGACCTGTAATTGAATTTTATCAAAACCTTCGGAAAAATCACACTGAAGGAACTGTGAATGTGTATCCAACTATGCTCTTATTACTAGCCATACAATTACCTCTATCGCTTATGAAATCAAGTGTAAGTCAATTATTTAAAAACCGCAGAAATTAGTAATAATTATTAGAAGTTTAAAAAATAATTACTAACAAAAGATTTTGACGTAATCAATTTAATAATTCATTCAGTCTTGTAATTTTGCAGGGAGTCGCGGAATCATTTGCTTTTGATCGAATAACTGCATCGTTTATACGTTCATCAGTTTTTGATTACCCAATAATCATAATCATAGATCGATGGTTCTATGCCAAACGTTTTGTCCAAGGGAAACTAATTTTTCACATACTATATATAACATTTTTATTATTTGATTTAAATAATTATGAGTAAGTGCCCAGATATTAAGTACTGATTAATTTTTATTAAATTGCAACAGTTGTTTCTTATTTATAGTTATAGAAACGTGGGATCTAATACATTTATAGAACAATTAATTCTATACATCAAATATTTGTACATCTTAGTTTCAGCCTATCAGATAAGGAACGGTTACTTGTATCGGCATGCAAGTTCATTTCTTTGGTCACGATATACAATATTCAACTTGATGGCTTACAAACTGTAAGATAATTTTAAATTGATATTAAAATAAATTATAAACAATTTAATATTTTAAAAGATATTACTATTGTCCATTTGTACACGAAATCCGCACAGTATTGGATTGGATATGGACGGATTCGTCGTTAACAATTATGGAATGGTTCAAAATGGATGAGCTTTTCACCCATGTGTGTTGTGTTAAGGTAGAAGAAGAATTATTATAAATTACCTAATTATGTAACTGGTCTCACTTAAATTGTAATTTATATTTAAATCATTTTAAATTTTAATGAAAATGTTGTTACTTTATTTATGTTTATAGTGCGTTTATAATTTTCGTCAGTTAGTAGACAATAAACGAGGTCAAAATGTACCCTGGAAATTTAAGCTATTTGTTGGTGGAGGGATTATAATAGCAATATTGTCAGTAATAATATTTCCATTAGTATGGTTTTCTATGTTTAAAAGTGAACCAGACACGCCGTCTTCAATGGAATTAACTGTAACATTTGGAGAAGATTCAACTGTGTTCTCCACCAAGTCAGATGACATACATAGGTATTCTAAGTTAAGCATTCTCTTTAATATAATAGATTACTAATAAATTATACAAAATAATGTAGTAACCATTATAATTGTTAAATTTTAAAATGTAGGTATTTGATCCATAAAATGAATCACTGTAAATAATCCATACAATAATTTTAATGTACAATATTTATAAAAAAAATAAAATGCATAATTAGTACTTAAACAAACCAATGAAAGTCAAATAACAGAAAATTTGCAGTTTTTACAAAACTTATTGATTTTCAGACTAGATAGATCAGATGTTAAATTAATGAATGACATTTACGATGAGTCGTCGAAAATAAATGAAGTCAACATCCGAGAATTTTCAGAACAATATGAATTTGACGAAATAAGCTCAATTAATGTAATACCCCAGTCGATAAATACATGGCCCATTACCGCTTATGAGTTCAAAAAGTTTCAAAAGCTTATTCATACAAGTAATTAAGTTTTTTTTCGTATACAAATATAACAAAGATAGTTATAACAATATTAATCTTAAATATTCTTTTACGGGAAAAATGTTAAATTATATTAATTTCGAAAAAAAGTATTTAATTATTTTGATTAGGAATAATTTTCAATTACATTTCCATATAATTAACTTTATCGCATATATATTTAAATCTTATGATAGGTGTTTGAATTTGTATTTATTGCTACAGGTTCCAGCATTAAAATTTCAGTAGAATGGGCATTGACACACCACGATGGTGTTAAGATAAGCCGCGGAAAAAACACAGTTATGATGGAAACTTATGTACATTCCATATTCACCGAGTGCCTGAAAGCATTAATTAAAAGTTCTAATACAGTACCGGGTTCTTGTAAGCAAGTGGTCATACCCAATCTAATACCGAAGTTTTTGATACTACATTTAAAATCTACTGAAACGTTAGTGAAATCAGAATTGATGATACATAACCCATGCAAGTCTATAATATTTATATAAGTTTCCTATTTATTTGAATTCGCTGGAGTGATTTATAGCTAAATAGTATGTAAGCTAATTGTTGAAATACGCCTTCTATTGTATATCTTGAGGGTGGTACATTTTCAACCATTTTTAAAAGTTTTTGATTTTCATGATTTAAAACAGAAATGACATCTAAAATCATTTTTTTTATATAGGTACTCGCCATCTGTATAGGTATGGGAGTTTTGCTCGAGCAATATTAAAGGAAATTACAAAACTTGCTTCTATAACACCATCTGCTTGGTTAGTTAGGTAGCATTTTCATAACATTAGTTTGTTTACCAAATTTTATTTTCATAGAACATACCCTATTTTGCCTCAAATCAAAACAGATAGGAAATTCTTTAGTTCTTTACTAAATATTCTGTGATTGTTTCGTAATGACGTTTTAAATCACTGACCTTAAACGGCGATAATGTAAGTTCTCATATGAGATAAAATGGTTAATCGTTTTTCTGTATGAAAAAGAAAGTACAGCTCTTCCCAATTCCCATTGTAATTTGAATTCCCGGTTTTTTTCTTCATATTTCAGTTTAACCGCTTTTTTTGAAATTGACATCGTAACTAACTTTCGCCATAATATGTATCGGTAAAATTTTACAAATATTTTACAAACAAATTAAGGTGTTTGGATCAGAAATATGCAACGCAGACTATTTTTACAACGATATAATTTCATAATGTACCTATTGGAATTCGTTAGAAAACTAGTAGGTAATCTAATAAAAACAAAATAATATTGAACTAATTCGTAATTTGATATGTTTATCCGGCTGCTAGCTATCTTTATTATTTTGTGTCTGAAGAGTACATATTCCATCAAATTATATAAATGTATTTACAAATATTTTGGCTTTTGATATCATTACATATTTGAATGTATATAAATGGCTCGTGAACATAATATTCATGTTGGCCGCCCCCGCTATGTACCATATCCATAATACATCTAAAAATAGATAAGTATGAACTATATGGTTGTGTCATAATGTCATATCTCCCCCTACCATGACAAAATCATTTGACCGCCACTGAACAACATCTATACAAAATTTTAATCATAAACATGGATCGTTACTGAAATCAGTGTCTTACACTTTGCAAATAGCAACTCTTAAAAACAAATACGTCATAGATCGTTTTGATTGAAGCTTTTTCAAACTTCATTATTATTTTAAGTTTTTCATTACTTTCGAAATTTTATTTTCAATTTCAAAATTATTAAACACAGTTAGCACTGTTTTATAATTATCTTCAGTTTTGCTGATTAACAGTATGTATCAAGGGTACACAAGTGCTGTTATTAATACCTCATAAAATTGACTCATTTATCGTAAATATTTGATTAAAAAATACCAGGACAGTCATTGAATCAGCAAGCCAACAATTTGGTTCCCTCAAGTAAATTCAATTCTAAACTGTTTTGAAATCATAGATGAAATTATCTTATTTGATTAAGCTTTTCAAAAGAAAAAAATGTATTGACATTTATGTTGAAGTGCCGATGGAGGTTTTTCCTTTTATATGTATTTTCACTTGGAAACTATACTGTACGAGTAGCACTGTAGGTCAAATGACAACCAATTAAACTGAACGATTAGACATTGAATGGAGTTAGACGTCCCGTTCAGCAGTGCGCTCTTTATTGGAATGGGGTATTACAATATTATAGTCGAAGAAAAGAAATACCTAAGGGGAGTGTGCGTATCTATTAAGCCATTTGGTACCTTTGCCATGGGTATCTTTTTATTTTGTCACGATATATGAGTAACCTTGGACGGAATTTTTTCTTCGATAAATTAAGTTTCGCCGACAAAGGCTTAAGCTTTTATTTCCGACCGGCCAAAAATCGCATTTCGGTGTTAATCTTTGCTTAACACGAGACGGGTTTTTTTTAATAATCAAAAGATGATCTTGAGAGCGTGGCAATCGGCTGAGTGTTACTCTTATATTATGAAATAGAGTATATTATTTGTACACAACCAATCCGAAAAAACAAATAGATTTATTATAAGTACCGCTGAAAAACAAAATAATAATTAAGTAAATATTATAATTACCTATAGCTAAACCATACATGGACGTCGGTTTAACATTTCATTACGACGATGTATCTAAACTTACGTACTGGTGGGACTTGGTAGAAATATGTCCGAACGACGATGAAAAGACCAGTTATTTGAGAAAGTTGCCGTATTCATCGTGCGCTGATATTGATATCAATATGATCCCAACTAATAACAGTCATAATACGAATAATATATATAATTTATATGTGTTTAGTGATAGATACTCGAGCACAATACGGTTTTTAGACGACAAAGGGTAATTGTTCTATTCTATATTTATAAAATATAATAATTTAATTATTCTATCATTATTGTTATTAAATAATCAAACTGCGAAACTGACCCTGTATCGTGCACTTATAATAATTCGAAAATAAACTAATTAAACTAATTTCAGAATATCCGGCTTGTACACGATAATTGTAGTCTATATTGGATATAAGTTGGCATTTGATATATTTCGATCTTTCAAATTCAAATTAGGATTCACCGAAACACCTTATCCTGACCGTATACTACAAGTAACACAAAGAATGCTAATTTGGAAATGCGTTTATTTATACTATGCATTATTTGTAGCTTTGTTACGAAATTTATATGGTAAGATTCTTCAAAGAATATGAAATGGAAGAAGATTTATACGCAATGTTAATATATTTGTTTCGATCACCAGAAACGTTGATTCGTTATACAAGACTACCAGAAGAGGATATACAAGAAACAATTGTTGAATAAATATAAATAATAAAATGAAATGTATTTTTTTGATAAGTTTAATTAAATTAAAGTAATTTTTTCAGACAATTACAGATTTCAAATTCTAATTTGTCGTTTTGAAAAAAATATTTTTTATGAATATTGTTATGAATTTTCATAAAAAATATTTGTATAAATATTTAAAATATTTTTTTTAATATTGTTATGAATTAAGGGAAAATATTACTGGGGATATTTTGTACATTAGATATTTTTAGTTGAGATATTTGTAGCGGGGATATTTTAAGGGCGAACCCGTCAGAATCTGCTACTCTATTCGGATTAAGACTTATCAAGAGTTGAATAAAAGTAACTAGACTTTCTCAACAACCTCACTAAAGTTAAAGGTGTTACTCAATGGCAGATCGTTACTCTTCAATGGGAACGTCCAACGTTTTTTGCTTCGAGCATCATTATTCTTATACATTTATCACAATGTAACTACCTGGCGATAGATTGTTTAACTGAGGTCTGAGAACGTTATCGCCAAGTGGTGTTGGCCGATCCGGAGTTTTGTGTACCCGGGCTAATCAACATGTTGATAGGGAATGACTTGTACCTACACGTTACAGTCTAAGACATTATTCACATTACGGGTTAAACAGTGATTACGGGTTAAACGATGATCTTCGTACACTTAGCAATCTCCTTGAACAAATAGCTATACCTGTACCCACCAATCTTAAGCTAATACGCCTAGGCAATAGTAATGCGAAGAAATCGAGACCTTTGAAGGTAATCTGCCAATCCAAGGCCGATGCTTCTAATCTTATTTTAAATTTTAATTCACAAACGCGGAATGGATTATTACCAGAACCTGGTTTTCGTATTGTTCGGGACAAAACCACGCTTGAACGGGAACTTTTGCGTAAAGCTCACTCCGATCTGCAACGTAAAATTGAAAGTGGCTCTTCAGATTTTACTATTTCATACGTCAATGGTGTACCTTCAGTGATTAAAGCCGGTCCAAAAAACATGAACCCCAGTGGAGGAAGCAATCATCGACCGAGTTCCACTCAGCATTTGCATTAGTTCCTGATTTCAACTCAGGTTTGCATGTTTATTGTAAAAATAATATTTGTTGTACCTTTTGCCGTTTTTCACATTCTACCTTTAACTCATTTTTATCTAAGTTTAATAATATTAAAAATAACTTGTCTTCTATACCCTACACTAAGTTTAATAATTTTAATGTTATGCCTAATATTGATCATTGTCTTAATATTTACTACCAAAATGTACGTGGCCTTCGTAGTAAATTGTTTAATCTCCGAACTAATTTTATTTTATTATCTTATGATGCTTATATTCTTACTGAGACTTGGCTTTCGGATGACATCGATAATTCTGAATTATGTTTTGATGGGTATTTAATCTTTAGGTGCGACAGAAATGTACGCACAAGTAACTGTCGTCGAGGAGGAGGTTCATTAATTGCTGTCAAAAAAGAGCTAAGACCAACCTTAATTACGACTTCATTTGACACTTGTGAGCAAGTTTTTGTTCGCCTCACTCTAGCCAGTGGTCTCTCTGTACTTTTAGCTGGAGTATATTTACCTCCTAGTACTAATTTGTCTGTGTATGAGAGTCATGTTGAGGCATTGGACCGGGTATGGAGTTCTTATAATTTTGATCTTGGTTTAGTATGTGGTGACTTCAATATGCCCAGTGTTGAATGGTCCGTCAGTGATTCGGGTCCTGTCTATACAGGTAATATCACTGATAAGGTCCGTCTTGTTGGTGATCTGTTTAGTTTCCTTCACTTTGTCCAGAAGAACCAAATACTTAATAACTCTGGATCTCTTCTTGACCTAATTTTCTCTAGTCATGAATCCACCATAGTCCAGCAGGCTACAGATTCATTAGTTCCATGTGACATTTACCACCCAGCACTGTCTATTTCCTGTCCCTTTCCTTCCGCTCTACCAATGCTAGATGCTCAACACACATATTATGATTTTAAAAATGCTAACTACGAGAGGATTATTCATAGACTTGAGAGCATTGATTGGTACAACACCTTAGATTCAAGATCCACGGACCTTTCTGCTGATTTTTTACAGAAATCACTGCTTGATGTTATTTGTGAATGCGTTCCATTACGAAACTTTCGTAACTCTACTTTTCCTATATGGGTCTCAAGTAAACTTAAGAAACTTCTCGCTATGAAAAAACAATCGCATAAACAATATAAAATGTTAGGTGGTCTTAATCGTTATTCAATCTTCTCTCAACTACGAGCCCAATGTAAATTTGAATCGAAGCGTCTCTATAATCACTATTTGCGTTACATACAGAATCGTCTATGTGCAGATCCTAAATCATTTTGGAAATTTGTTCGGAGTAAACGTGGTGTCTCTGCAATACCAGAAGAGGTTCATCTTGGGGAGTCTAAGGCCTCCGGTGACCAAGTTGCTTCTTTGTTTGCTTCTCATTTCTCATCTGTGTATAGTGACTCACGATTTACCTGTAATGGTTTATCCGATGAGTTTACTAACAACCAATTTTCACACCTTCCTTCCAAATTATCTATATCGATTGATGAAGTTAATACAGCGCTTAACTCTCTTTCAAATGTTCATAGTTCTGGCCCGGATGGCATCTCTGCTAACCTATTGTATCACTGCCGTGCCTCTCTCAGTTTACCGGTCACTTTAATTTTTAATAAATCACTTACAGAAGGTGTTTTCCCCTCTGCGTGGAAAATAAGTCGTGTTATGCCAATTTTCAAATCTGGGAATCCGGCTGATGTCGCTAACTATAGACCCATCTCCGGCCTTCCACTCCTGGGTAAACTGTTTGAATCTATAGTACTGAAACAAATCGAACGTTCTTTCTTAACCACCTTATCAATTGACCAACATGGGTTCTTTCCAGGTCGCTCGACTGCGACTAGTCATGTAGTTTTTGTTTCTTACCTTCACGCGGCGTTTGAATTAGGTAATCAAGTTGATGTGATATACACGGACTTTTCTAAAGCGTTTGACTCCATAGACCACAATGCACTTATTTATATCCTCGACAGACTTGGTGTTGGTGAGCCACTTTTATCATGGTTTAATTCTTACCTTAGTGACCGTCGACAATTTGTCAACCTCTTCGGGAAGTCATCTGATCTCTTCTGCGCACCGTCCGGTGTTCCACAAGGTAGCCATTTAGGACCCTTATTATTTAATATCTTCATTAATACTATGTGCTCAGTTGTTTCCCCTTGTCGTTTCCTACTTTTTGCTGATGACTCTAAAATTTTTCACACGATTACCTCTAATAATGATTGCCTCACTCTCCAAAACACCCTTGATAAATTCACCAATTGGTGTAGTACGTTTAATTTATCACTTAACATCTCCAAATGTAAAGTTATGACTTTCTATCGCTCTAAGGCAGTGATATCTTTTGACTATAGACTTGATGGTATATCTATTCAACGTGTTAGCCAGATCCATGATTTAGGCATTTTATTTGTACCTTCTCTCAATTTTAGCCCTCATATTGATTATATGACCAGCAAAGCCTTTCGTGCTTTGGGATTCATAAGGCGTCACTCAACCAATTTTAGTTCTGCCAATTGCCTTCTAGCACTCTATAATGCTTTAGTCCGTTCGGTCATTGAATATGGGTCTATTGTTTGGTCACCTTATACCACAGTTGACATTAGTCGGATAGATCGTGTACAAAACAGTTTTATGCGTTTCGCCGGTTATTGCCTCAATATTCCTCATCCTCCACATGATTATGGGCCAGTAAGCCAAGTTCTGAGAATAGTTCCCCTTTCTGTAAGGCGTGATAATTTTGATATCACTTTTATTCAGCGTCTGATCGAAGGTCAAGTTGATGCCCCAAGACTACTTGGAGAACTTAGCTTTCGAATTCCTAGTAACACTAGGCTTCAGTCTAATTTTTATATACCCGCCAATAAATCAAACTTCTCCAGGAATGCCCCACTTATAAGAATGATGCATAATTCAAATAATCATATAGACTATTAAGCAATATGTAGTACGAAGGCTCACATTCTTTTTTTTACTTACAAACTAATTCTTTTCTTCACTCCAATATTAAGTTAGTATAAGTTACGCGTCTTTATATACTGTAATATGTTTTAATTTTACTGTTATCCATGTACTTCTGGACTGTAATTTTGTAAAAGCCGTCTGGCGTTGATTATAATAAATAATAAATAATAAATAATAATAATAACCAAGTAAATTATAAGACCATAAAGATGGTTAGGTTAGGTTAGCCTAACCTATCCTAACGTAACGTACCGTTCATTCGGGTTAGTTCGGATTGAGTATAGGAGTCGAATTCTGCCGAGTGAGTGTAGCAATGACGCTTTGACTATCTTTCTCTCATCCTTAGTCGACTCGAGCCGACTTTACCCGAATGAGCGTTACATAGCCGAGCGTGATGGCTCAGTTCAATTCAGTACCCACAAAAACTGCTAAACGCGACTAAAGAAGTTTTCATTTCAATACTCAAAACAATATGATTATTGCAAATTAAGTCATACACTACTATAACAAAATATATGGATTATTCTAAAACCAATGATAGTGGTAATCAGTGGGAAATGCTTCTAAAACCATTCAACGTTAAAAACAAAATTAATTTTAAAATTTTTTTTTATTAATGAAATATAGTATTTAACAACAATATTGAGATAATATATATTCTAAAAGTATATACACAATAATTTTTAATAACTGTTCAAATAGTATAATATTTGTATCATAAATTGTGTCTATTTATATAAAACTACTAGACTCGCATGCATAGGTGTGTACAGACTGACGACGTGGCTATTGTTTTGACCACCTGCGACCCATCCTGTACAATTCACGCTGCCCCCCCCTCCTCAAAAAAGTTTAAGGACTAAAAACTTGTACAAATAAAACATACTTAAACAAAAAATTTAAGTTCAGATGTGATATAAAAATTAAATAACGCATTTCCTATATTCTGGATTGCAATGTCGTAGTTGTGATAAGACTTCTAAATTCAAAGAGTTAGGTAGAAAAGGCTTTATTACAGGGAAGGTAAATTTGTTTTAACATTATGTACCAAAAATGACTTTTTTTCTTACATGCTATTAAATTATGAAATTTATATATAAATAAGAAATAAATTATGGTCTTGTTATTTATTATTAATAATATAATTTTTAAGTCCCCAAAAATATCTTAAAATATCTCTGTTCAAGAGATAGTCTTTTCTGTACCCCACTTAAAAAGAAAAAACTGACTTTATAACTCTACAATCCACGCCCGTTCACACGCCTATGCTCACATGTCTAGATTTATTAAATTTAACAAAAAAAGAGAATATATTTAGAGCACAAGAATTATATAAATATTATTTATAATGATAAAGTATAATAAATTTATATTTAAGCAATATAATATGCTCACACACAGCATAGTAGTACTATAGAACAGTCAAAATGCTTTTAAAAAAGTATTTATTTTAAAACATTAAGATGAATTTTTATTTGCTAATAACATACTAAAAGTATTTTTGGAAAATAATGCCTGAACAATTTTTATAAACATTTTTTAAAGATATTTCCTATAAAACATTTTAAAAAGTTTGAGCTAAATTTAAAATTTTTTGTAAATGCTCTTTCATAAAAAAAAATAATACGTTTTTATGTATCAGCGTTTTTAAATACAATTGTTTACTAAATGTTGTATGGTAGGTACCTAATTTTATATATTGTAATTAATTCTAAAATTGTTCATAATAAGATTTCAGAATACAAAATAAACAATCGTTATACATGGTAACTCTTTATGTTTTAAAAAAATAAACATGTTCGCAAAAGCGTAAGCACAATCTAAGAAAAACAACAATAATACATTTAATTATTATTGCAGCTTTAGGTCACATGCATTCCAATTATAATTATTGCTTAGTAATGCAATAAATAAATATTTCAATTTATTATATAATATTTAAGTACCCTATGTTTAATTAACAAATTAGAACAGATATTAGTTAAATGTTATCATAAAAATTATTTAAAATGAATAAGTGGATTATGTTTTATTTAAATATAAATTACACTTTCTTTGACCAAAATCGAAGTTTGTCATAAATCATAACCACCATCCATTTTTTTTTTTTTGTACATCAAGTGTTACATTCAATACATTACATCAAAAGTACTTTTATATTTATTTATTACATACATGCGCCTTATTTATAAAAACAGAGTTCTTAAAATCTATAAGTAATAGTAACTATATGAAAGGGAGATATAATAATTATAACGAGAAACATCAATGAATAACACACTTTAACTCCAAAATTAATTAACGATGCATAAAATAAAAACAGAATATAAATTAAGGAATGTATTTTAAACCCCTAAAAGGCTAAATACGGTTTCACCGATTATTTGATGTTATGAGGTCAAGATATCACTGTTCGGTCTTGTAAATATTAGTATATGCTACTATATCTATATTTAAAATCGTAACAATTGAGGGAACATTAACCTGAATATATTTGTGTTTCATTCTTGAGCAAACCCTTCAGTCTCCTCAATAGCATAATTGAGTTTTTCAACTAGTTGGTCATAGCTCTTGTATGGCGGTAAGTCTAACCTGTTAAAGCATGTGTGCGATCGAGGTAACCATGTTTCCTTACCAACCTTTTCAATGCAAAACCTCTGCGCTCCATTGCTTCCTAAACAAAAGTATAATTGTATTTAATAATAGATACTAATCACAATATTAATCTAAAGAAAAATTAATTAACAATATTATTTTCAGTTTTTGGTTTAACTCACCCATAAGTTCAGCAAACCCTCCTACTGGAACTCTACATGTTCCAGTCACAAACTGAAGAAGTCTAGCTCGTTTTTCATTGTCAGCTTGTTTTACAAACTATATTTCAAAACAAAATATGTTAAAAATCATCAAAATCAAGTACAAATAAAAGCTGGCAGGATGAAGTTGTTTTATTAGTGAGTTTTGGAGGAACACACTTTCAGTAAGATAATAATGGTTTTGAATTCATAGGTCAATTTCTTAGAATATACAGATAGCATATTTTGGTTCATATTTAGTGACCGAAATACAAGTGTTTAAAAATGAAAAGGAAAATACTCATAATATAACCTAATTTTATAATGTATAAAACTCAATAAAAATTAAATATAAAATCTCAAATTACTTGTTAAATAAAGTTAAAATTATGAAATCATAATTGGACATTCAAAACTATATTTTTCAAATACTATTCAATTGTTTTTAATGAATTTATTGAATTGCTAAAGTTTTTAATACCATAATGTTTATTATTATATAATATTTGCAATTAATTTATTTAAACATTTTTTGGGATCCAAAATTAAAAATATCAAGCACAAATTTGAAAATTAATTTCATTAAAATATTTACATTTTAAAAATAAATTTAATAATTTAATATTGAAAAAATATATATTTAAAACAGTAGGAGCTGCTAATAAGGAACACTTTGTGACCAAAGTGAAATGTGTCATTTAACCGATTGTTCCTAATAAGCGATTAGTTTGTTCTATGAAAAAAATATATTTACCTAATACATATGTATTTAAAAATATATACAATGTATTATTAACTGCATATGTATAATTTGAAAAGTACCTACATGCATATATTTTACTATATTATTTAATATATGTATCTATCGATGTTTGACTTTTTGTGTGTAGTAACTCCATGACTACATTTTCAAATGAGTTATCATAACATATTTTTGGGAGCACATTGTACGACTGTATCAAGTCGCACTTCTGTTTCGAACTTAAATCTTGGCTTTTAGATTTTTAAAAAAACGTAGCGCTAACCTCCAAATACGCATGCCAAATCTGAACAAAAATACGTACACAAAAGAGCATTCTTAATTCTTACATAGGTACTATACATAGGATAAAGTACAGTAAAAATAAATGTAACGACAGCTAAGATGAGATTAAAGCAGTTAAAGAAGTTATTGCCGGATACCCTGTGTAATGAGTATTTACCCTTAGCCTAATTGTTTAAAATAACTAATGTGATGTTTCAATAATTCGATTAACTTTGAATATTCTGATATATTGCTGGTCTGCCCTGCGACCTTTAGTTTCAATAACGCTACTATAAAAATATCCCTGTTCCTAATAAGCAGCTTTTACTGTATATGGTTTAGAACTAATTTATTATTTTATTGGTTATATTTATTGTCATTAGAAAATATAATATGGATATAAATATAAAATTACACATTTAGGATTATTTTCAAAATGTTATGTTAGTCCTTTCACTGCTCCAAATGTACTATTACATACAAAACATTTAAATCATTCACTGGCCAAGCAAACTACATATTACATTTCTGTATATTAAAATATTATCATTTACTGGTAACCGTACAATTTTAGGGAGCCCTTGCATTATTTTAAACTTAAATAATTTGATTATATAGATCTCAAAGATTTGATTAAATAAAAAAAGAACATATATTAAAAATTTAAAAAAAAAAATTAAGTATTCTATTTAATGTAGCATACGCAAGATCCAGAAATAGTATAGCAGTGAAATGATTAATAATAAGAATATAAATTCAATTAGCTTTAGTACCTGCCAAAACCAGTTAATTTGCTTGCTAGTTCTATTATAGTGCCGATAAATTGTGTGCTGTTGCCAGTCTTCGACATCAATCTCTTGCATGCCACACAGCATGAGTTCAAGTTCACGTTCATCAAAATATTTTAACCATTCTAATGCTACTACTTCGTTAAATCCATCTAATAATGCTTGAGTCTGTTCTTCAATGCCACGTGTCATTCTCCATTCTGTCATTAATTTAATGTACTCTTCTTTGTTAGCATCAGTAACCTTCACTTTGTCACCATTTTCTATCAACTCGTGATGCACAACTTGGCCAAGTACTTCAAAATCAACTCCAAAGTACATTTCAATATCACTTTCTTCTAAATTATTGTCACTTATCCAAACCAATGAGTTATAAAATTCTGGGTCAATTGATTCAATATCTTTCATGGTAAGAGTTTTGTTCAGCATACGCTTGTAAAAGGGCATTGTGAAACCAGAATAAATAAAACGTCCATGGTATAAAGCCTACAATTTTAATCACACAATTTATAAAATATTCCACATAATTTAAAGCATATTTATTATAATACTTACCATAGCTATGAATCGTCCAATAAATTTGAAATATAACAAATGGTCTGGATTCACATATGAAGCAGGATTAATTTGTAGACTATAATTATTTTTGTTAGCATATTCAAATAAACAGTACATTGGGTTCAGTACTTCGTGGGAAAGTAAGAAGAACCATTCTCTGCAGAATTCAATAATTATATTATTATACTGGAATTTAATATTTTAATAAAGATTAGAAACTATGTACCGTGAAACACCACCATAATCTAAGCCTTCTTCGCCACGGAATACTATGTACAAACGTTTCCTCATTTCATATGCAGCAGATCTCATTATTTGATGATAGGAATCTTCAAACAATGTTTGTCTGGAAACTGTTATCTTAATGTGGCTTGATATTGCATTACTTTGACACAAATACCGGAACTGGCTTAATTTCCAACGGAATGATCTTTCATAAGCAGCAGGTACCCCATAAGGACCAGTAGAACTAAAATTATACATATTTTCATCATTTATAGTTCATAATACATAACTATTATAATTAATATTCTTTCTTATTATTTACCACTGAATGGGTGTTACATGGGCACGAGGGTCTTCAAATGTAGTTGTATGTGTATTATGATCAACAAAATATCTGATTCCATCAGTGGTTTTTCTTACTTCCCAACCAGTTGGTAAATCGGAATTTTCAATAATCAACTCGGTCCTAAAAAGATTAATTAACTTAAAATAGATCTTGAAATAAAATATTTCTTATTTATACCCTTGCGTTCGTGGATCTTCCCATTGGGTAATGCGACTCTTATGATTAACAAAATAATTTCTACCATCAGGTTGGATACGCTTTTCCCAACCGCTGGGTAATGGTTCCTCTTCAACAACAGGGGTTGGTGGAACTCCTGTTGTATGTCTATTATTTGGCCCAGAACCTGTTCCTAAAGCATGCTAAACATACCATACAGAAGAATTAGTTACATAGAAAAATATTATTAAAAATATATTCATTTTACCTGAGGATAAAGAAATCTTTGGTTTCCTTGTTGAACTACATGAGCTCTTTCACCTTGCCAATGTTGGTAATGCTGCAATCTTTCCATGTTTGGACGCTGCCATGTTGTAGTACGAGTATTGTGATCCACATAATAAATACGCCCACGGCTATCTCTTCTTATCTCCCAGCCAGTAGGTAATGGCTGTGGTCGTTCCCAAGAAGTTGATTTTGTGTTATGATCCACATAATATTGTCGTCCAAATGAATCAAATCTCATTTCCCAGCTACAATAAAATGTATAAATTAAATGTTCTAGCTCAAAAATAATATATTATTTGTTTTCACCAACCCAGGGGGCAAAGGTTCTTCTATTGGTAGTGTAACAGGACCATTTTGGTGATGAACAGTAATTGCCCCCTCGGCAGAATTATTGTGTGATGGTGGAGTTTGTGATGTCCGAATGTTATTTGTTAACGCATTATTTACAAGATTATTTGATACATTCATGTCTAAAATGTGTATAAATTAACTACATTACAAATCTGTTCTACAATGGTTCAAATAATAAAAAACAACTATTACCTATTGTTGGAACCGGTGAAGCAACAACAGCCGTTGTCGAGGTACGACTACGAGCTCTAACTCCGTTACTAAAATTGCCATCCGATAATCCTATTTAAAAATAATGAGTTAAATTGATTTTTCTTTTATATATTATGTATGAGTACCTCGATGATTATTAGTACTAGTGCCTGGTTCTCTAGATGGATTTGAAACTTGAGATATATCAATTTGGAAACCGTGTAATATAGTAATCAACTCTCCAACCTTGACCAAATTGTTAGAAGTGGATGAACTTGAAGATTGATGATCATGATGACGAGCTCGTATCAAATCAATTGTCAACTCCAAATTATCACAGACACCATTATAATTACATAAAATATCATAAAGACTAATACTCTTTTCAGCTATAAGCAAATCTTTTTGAAATTTGCAATAATCTAATACACGATAGTGCAATATTGAGTATGGAGTAACAAGTCTGGAAAAAAAATATTTCAGTACCAATTATAATTAAATTGAAACTTATAAATATAAAACTATTAACATACACAGTGAATTCTTCATTCCATTTTGGTTGATATGTATTTTTAATAACTTCAGTTTTATTTCTTTTGCAATCATCAACAATAAGTTCAACATAGGGATGCGGTTTAATCAATCCACCACTATTTTTCAAATTTGCTCTTTCAACTAAAACAACAATAAAAATTAAACTAACAATGAACCGTCATTCAAACTTAATTATCATAAAATGTATTTGGAATAAATAGTGCTATGTTAGTGATATTGCACAAGTTCTTTTCTTTTACGGTGAATATAACCTGGCTTAGCTCTAACTTTATTTGAAGTGTTTCCCATGCAAAACAACGTTAAATTAACAATTTATAAATGGTGGTATTCTGATAAAACACATTTTGAACTTACTTGTTACAATGAGTTGAAAAATTTGAATTTGATTTGAAGGAGCAATTACTCTATCCTGAGAGGATATTGAACAATTGGCCAAACTTTCTACAATAGTACCCATGGCAATAAGAACTTTTCACTTTACAGTGACTTAAAAAGCATCAAATATTTGACCACAATTATTTTGTTGGCTAATCTAAAAAAAAAACAAAAAAAAAGTTATAAATAAATTTAGTTCATATCAAATACCTAAGATAAATGATCTTCTATACACATTGTATCAAAACAGCTTATTAAAAGTAATAATTCATTTACACTTAATGTCTGACTAATAAATGCATTTTTTTTCAATAGATGCTTAATGAGAAATAAATAAGTACTAATAAATTATACCTTAATAGCTTATCAACATTATGTAATCTAATCTACCTTAAATAAATGTTACAATTTTATGAATTATTTTCATAAATTAATGAATATCAAATATAAAAATTTAAGTATAAGTTACAAATTCACAAGCAAATTAATTTATAATACCTAGTTTTACAAATTTAAATACTTACAAAAGAACAATAATATTCCTTGTAATTACTAATGACCAGAGAGCCTAGATAATCTATTATTTTATCAAGGCTCACTTAATATGACATAAAAGTTGGAATAGTAAAATTATATTTCTTGCGATTAAGTAGAGTTGTATATTATTATAAATGCAATTAATTAGGATATTGTATTACAAGTATGAAATTGGTATTAGGTATATTTTGTTTATTATTTATTAGCTACTAAATAATATAAATAGTTGTCATGATTGAATAGTATCTCACATAAATTAATAAAAGAATTATTAAAAAGGCAAAGTTAAAAAGGAAATACTTAAGTATTTTTGATTTTGAATCTTTATTCTGTACCTACATAATTATTATAATTTGATTTTCTTTTATTAAATTATGCCTTATCAAAACATTTCTAAAAAATGTTATTGCTACATAATAGTTACCCGAGTTATTATTAAAAATAAAAATGATTGTACTGCTAAAGATAAAAATAAATACTGATAATATCATTAATAAAAAAATTTAATTTAATAACCTAAGTTAAGTAAGATTAGAATTATTCTTTACTTATATAATATACAAATTGGTATGGGTATGTACCTATACATTACTATCTGCCTGATCTTCCTCTTGAATAAATTATTTTTTTATAATTTAATTTAAAAACACAAGACTATTTTTTGGCTATACAAATAATACAACGATTATAAAAAAAAAAAGAAAAAAAAAAGAAACAGACATCGTTATCGGTGGATATATGAAAATAATTGGTAATTAGTTAATTATTATTATTATTATAACGAGGGTTCAAAACCGGTTTCCTTTGTCTCCAAAATCAAGTTAGATTCGTATACACATAGAGAAGTTTTTCTTACTCCAGATGATCATAAACTTATATCAAAGATTAATCAAACAATAAACCACTTCTTATATGATACATGCGAAGGTCAAAAAATATAATAAATGTTGGTTTAGATTTAGACAACAAATATATCACGGAACAAAACTCTTAATTTATTAACTACCTCGTACCTACATATATAATTTGTGATCAGGGCTATGAATTAATGCACTCATACGCTCAAAAATAGATTCTAAATTATGCAAAATTATGCAAAATGTATCAAATAAAATTAATTAACACTTCAGTCTATGGCTTGTACTAACAAATAATACAAGTAGAATATTAAAAACGAGATTCAAAATACACAAGAATAAATATGCCCACCTAAATTAAATATGAGAAATAAACATTTATATTAAATTTGGTGGATCTATGCACTATATTACAAAATAAGGTACATTATATATATGTATATACCTATTATCCATTCATCATCAAATTCAATATCTACATATTGATATGCATTAACATCTAAAATATGCTAAATACAATTTTTTATTTAAAATGGTACCTAATATAACTAAGCAAATTTACATCTCACAGTCCAGTGTTTATGAATATAATAACAAATGAAACATATTAATTAATATTGACATATTGATAATAGGTAAAAAAAATAATTCAAAACATAGAAAACAATACGGCAAAAATCAATTAATCCTTAATTTATTTGTTTTATGTTTAGATTAAGATCAAGTACTATTCAAATAATTATTAATGTTAGACAGAGGGCTGGACAATGTAACAGAAGAGTAATAAAGGTAGGTAAAAAATTTAATTTTCATCTTTTAGACAGGTACTGTTTTACAATGTTAGCTATATGTGAGTTTTGTAAGCTAGTAGTAACATAGTCATCTTTCTTAGGTAATTAAAATTAAGCTACTAGAACTATACTCTGAGTTGGGAGAGAACATTGCTATTTTGTGCATGCAGATTAAAGGCAACAACCAGTCCAGGGTAAAATTTGTCCCACTTTAGGCCACAACGGTGTAGGTTGTATAAATGATATAAATTATAGAGTAAAGTGTTGCGGAACATACCAAACATTAACAAACTGTTGTTTCTGAATGGGGTGTAAGCAAAATCGGATGAGTTCTAGTTTAGGTCATTGTAATGTTCTTTGGTATGTGTTCTTGCTGCTGGTATAGCAGTAAAAATGGTTGTGTACCAATTTATATTTAACTAATTGCTTATGGATTTCAATCTGATTTGTTAAATTTGAAAGTTGAAATTACAAGATATCACATAAGTAAACAGTATATTTTACAGTCTTATAGTTAACAGGCTAATTCTGTTTTATAGTTGTAGTAGTCTATACCTACCTATCTCTTATCTAAAGAAATTCAAGTATCTAGGTACTCAACCAAAAAACCCATTTTGTCATCTTCAAAATATGATTCACAACATTCACAAAAGAAGTGATGATATACTGATCGTGAATCAAACTGCTAACAATAAATCCACATTAATTCAGTGACATCTAAATTAAGTTACTATAAAACCGTTTAGGTACAGTTAACTTAAGTAATACCCTGAGTCATACTGACATTATAATAGGTGTCTACAGTTAAAATAATAATTACCATCAGCAGCGAATGTATCAAACGAGAAGTGATTTATCCTATGATTTACTCACCCAATACAATCATATAGAACAAAAAAGAAAGACTGATAAAAGAGAAAATGGATTATGGGGTTTTAACACTTCAATCTTATATTTCTGAAGTGTAATAAAAAAGATAAGACCAAAGATCTAGGATAAAAACCCGTCAGTTTAACACGTTGTAATATGATAGCATTGTCTGAAACGCTCATCATAAGTCCTGACCAAGAAACAAAGATGATGGCCCGCGCCACGCTCGTCAGCCAGCTGAATACTCACCGACAGCGGATGGGAAAATAGTGCAGAGTGTGGTATGAAATTGTTTTTAATGTCAAGGCATGACGTCAGACATGCGAAAAGCGGCGAGCTTAGGGGATAGTGTGAGTCGCCTGGCCGACACCAAAAGCAAACTCGAGCAACACGATAAAGGAAGAAGACAACAAAACATTATAGTATAAATATAAATTATAATAACGAAAAAAATAAACGTATGAAACCGTAAATTTAGGTCGTGATGAAGGGGCGAGGGGGAGTGGCACTTACCGTGTATTGACAGCAGCTCAGGTGGCGGCAAGTTCACTCCAATACAATACTATAATATTTGCTTTAGTTCAGGACTGCGCTGCACTCGTCGGTGGAGGTAGTGTAGGGCTAGCGATCGAGTGAAACGGATAAGAGCAGGAAAAAAGTCGAAACGACTCTCCCGCCGTTATCGACGATTGCCGATCGTATTACGGCGGCGGACACGATGACGCCATGCGTGTTCATCAGCGCCACGCTAAATACGACGATTATGTCACTGTTGAGGCAGCAGCGGAGTTTTCGGCCACTGGACGACGGAGATCATTAATTTCTATCGATTATTATCTTTCGCAACGAATACGGGCGACCGTGATCCGTTTACACTACACGTCACATAATATCGCCATACGAATTGTGTTGTGTACGATTTAAAATAATAATTAACAATAGTGAATCGTAATGACAATGCCAGTAGTAATAATTGCGTGCGTGCGTGGGTTATTATTCCAAACCTATTTAACTAAAATACCAGCTATAGTTGTTTAAGCAGAGAGAGAGTGCGTTTTGGGTCGCGAACTCGCGAGCGGACGAGATAACACGACACGCGCGCGCGCACACATATGTTTTTGCGCACACACACACACACACAACAAGCTCACTTACACGCGCACACCACACTTTTGCGCGACTGTCGTTACACGAGCTGTGCGCTTAGTGCTTACCGCTAACCGTATTCGTAATTTGTATTAATATTTTACGGTACAATATTAAATCGTGCGACAATCGTACTACGTCAACGTTATTTCGTCAATTTATATCGTTTCGACACACGCGAATACACGATACGCATTATAATAATAGGTACTCTTCTTACTGCGATTGTAATATTATAATGTAATGATTACAATGGTATTTGTGATATATGTGAGAATGTGTACATATCGTGATAACGACGTAATCGTCTTTGAAGTTGATAAGATTAAGAAACGACAGGTGCTGCGTTGAGCTCTTTTTGACTTTTTGAGCAGCTGCGCAGCCACTGACTGGTTGTCTAGGTCGCAGGCATTTCCAAATAATATTAAATTCGTAGTTCGTGTTGTAGAAAATGTTGTTTGGACAACACCGCGTGAACTGGGGCGTGTCGAGCGATGCAGTTTTCGACGAAGAACGAACGGTTCGCACCGCTGCGAGGCGTCGGTATACCGACGATGACCAGCCGCGGAGTCACGCGACGAATGAGGTACCTACAGGCGTAACTATTTGAGTTACAACTCGCAGTACAACTTGAACTAGCTATTGTGACTGATTAAACAACTTCCCCTATCTACCAAAATTATTCACGTTTGTACAACATTTTCTCAACTCGAGTCACTATACACTATACAGTGTCTCAAAATGATAAACTGTACCTACATGACTACAGCTATGTTACTAGATAATATATATTATCAGACTTAGAGCAGAAGACATAATATATAGCCCTAAAAACCATAAATTAGATAGTATGCTACTCCCTACCTGCCTATGCAGTATGAGTATGGTATATGAATATGTAAAATAATATAAAATGTTTATTTAAAGCGGTTTGATTAATAAATATTAATTAGTATACGCATATTTTGGCTTCATAATTCGCCAGATTTGATCAGAGAAACGCTTCTTTTTGTATTCGTGGTTGTTAGGTGAAAATGTCTACTTTTAAACGGTTTATTTTTTTGTACAAATATTTAGCACGTTAATTAGCATGAATTTGCCTGACTAAAATTATAATTCACACGAAATTATTCAATGAGCTGAGTCCAAATTCGTATGTTTTTACCGTTGCGCAAGCCCGGCCCCATACTATATAGACTGACACTATAATATTATAGAAATTTAAAAATTATCCTAAAATAGTTAGTAGACGGTAGGTATTACAAAAATGTATGAAGGTGAATATAATAATGGTTGTAGTTTTTAAGACATTTTTTTTTTATTTTGTACGTATAGAGTACCTATATTATATACCCAATGTAGGTATATTAAAAAAAAAAAACCATTATCTATGGTTAATCAAAGGTTTTTTTTTCCAATGTGTACACGTCATATCCGGCAAAGATGTCTATGCTCAAAATCAACAAAAAATTATCACATTTTCAATTTAAAATAAAAAAAATGTATACATATTATATAACATGACAAATTTGTCATGTTATATAAGATTAATGTCTGTGATAAAATATATAGGTACCAAAGTACAGCTGTAACAAATTAATTTATCGAGTCACTACTCACTGTTTATAATCTACCCGAATGATGAATATAATACCTAGTCAATAAAGATACATATAATAATATTATTTATTAAGAAACTGATTTTTAACAGCTCGAATCTAATCGCCATTGTATTACCTACCGTAGCAACACACTTTTCAAATAATACGATGTACCTACCCATATATAGTAGGTATATATTAAATAGCCAAATAGGTATATACCAGTTGGCCCTTGAGCAATACTGCGTGCAGTCATCAAAATTAAATTGAATAAGAGATTATTTTCTACGACCTACAGTCGTTTTCGCGGTTGTTATATTAGCAAAAATGTGTTTGTTAGATGCGTATCCAATAAACACTGTTGCCCATGGTGTTTGTGAGTCGCGTATCCAGTGTAGAGGCGTTGGCCATTTAAACGTAATATCTAACAAAATAGGAAAGGCATTTTAAGTTGTAACGCAAAGTGATTGAGCGATGTCAAAAGCGGAAGCAATAACGTATCGTTTGGTGTGCGAATTATGGAATATGGTGCAGTATTTGATGAGCAAGAAGGATGTTGACATCAGAAATAAATAATAATATATATGATATCATCTTGGCATCTTGGCAAATCCAAACATTACGGCGAATGTATTTTTTTTATATCAAAGGGGCCTGCTCAGTGTTCGAAGTCTTTTTAATAAGGGGCAATATTTAGGCAATATTAAATTCCGTCGCCATCGCATATTATGGCATATTTAGTGTAAGTCGTAAACTCGTAAATTATGATTATTGTGGGTGTGGTTGTATTATATGGATATCAGACTTTCTACGCTCGAGCTGCATGCGTGCACAATAATAATAATATACCTACCACAGACTTAAAATGAAAAGCACGTTTTTTGGTCAAGACTGTAGAGTGGTCTGATTTCATTACTTAATTTGTTTAGTTAGACGAGGGTGATTTACTACAAGGTGCATTGGGCTTAAATTTTTAATATTTTTGCTTAAAAAAAAAAGGGTTATGAAAATATTTTTCTGTCATATTCAAAATTGTATTTTATGGTTTAGAAATAGAACTTAAAAACTGTCCAATGCACCCTGTCGGATCACTCTACGAGGTATGAGAGTTTTTCCTGAAATACATGTTTTGACCAAAAAAAAGATTATGTGCAGGTCCCTTAACAAATCTTAATTTATTGAATTTTAACAGTCTTTAAATTTATCATTTCATTGTTAATGTTGAGTTACCCAAATTCGCCTATATTCACTTACCTTAATTTCACCAAGTTTACAAAACAAAAAAAAAACACTATGAAGCTTTGACTCGTACCATATGCTGTACATATTGGTCGACTCTTATAACACTATAAATAAATAATACAAGCTATCAATTTGTATGTACTTAAAATTAACGATAAGACTCATAAATACGCTTTTGATTGTTATACCATGTGTAATTATTTTTTAAATATTTTAATTCTGTAACATATTAAATTAAAAAATATTTTAGTTGGAGATAGGTTGTATGTTTGGTGGGGCCCATTTTTACTATTTTCCTCAGGATCAATTATTTTATAAATCTGGGCTTGACTGTACTATACCTTCTAGTTGTTGAAAAATGTACCTACTACCCATTGAATATTAGATAAATAATAAAGAAACTGAAATCATTGAGAATAAAACATTGAGGGAAGACTATAAAAAACAAATAGTTGGTGTCACGTGATACATAATTCAAAATAAATTCCTAGCTCCATCATTACATGTTCTTTTAAAATGTGTCAAAAAATATGAAATCATTAACAACAGCAGTACTACATAGATGAAAGTTCAATTTCATTGAAATATAGGATCAGTTCTACAATAGGTGTTCAATCAACCACAATAATTAGTAGAAGAAGGTCAAAAATAACAATTCATCAAAAGGAAGTAAACGATTGCCAGTTGTTTGACCAAAAAGAAAAGTATTCAAAAACAATCGAAACTTGCAAAAAATTGTAAATAAAATATTTCAAGTACATAATCTCATAGAATTAATCATGTACTGTATGTAGGTATAAAAGCTAATAAACAAAGAATAAAATAAATTGAAATATACTAGTTACATTGTAAGAATAATAACCAAGTAATCACTGAATTACTCAATATTTATTAAGGTCATCAATAATTTATGATTTTATGGCAATTTTAAAAATCTAAATATTTTGGGAAAAAAATAACACATTATAAAGTAATATCCAACCTTTAAAAAAAAGTATCACAAAATCACAACTTAATAAACTTTTTGAAAGTATTAATTCTACCACATCACTTGCTTTAGGAATTGATTCTTAGTCATTAGTTCTAGTCTTACTCAAACTTATATGTAGTACATCTTTTAGAAAGAAAGCTTCTCAACCGTTTGCACATGATCTTAAGTTTTGTGAATGACCTTTCACAATATACCTGTCACCTGTTATACATACTAATGTTAAAGTATACTTATACAGTTATACAGTAAATAAAAATTAGAGTTAGACGCTGAGTGAAGTTAAAATGTATATACAATTTTAAAAGTGCACGGCACACAAGTTTTGCACTCTCTAGGTGTATCAGTTTCATTCTGTAATTTACTATCATCAAATTGTTCTTGGTTTAAACCACCAGGCACTGAATAGTGTGTTCGAACAAACCTCTTGTGGGAGTAGCTTGTTCCACGGTATTCATAAAAATAACTCAATAATTATTAATGCAACATAATCAAAAATATTATTGATAAATTATTTTAAAGGTTTTCCCTCATAATTATATAAAATCATAAAAGTTAATAGGAGACAATACTATCCGTAGTTAGGTACTCGATCAAACAAACGACAATAACAACTGTGTATCTGAATTTCATAAAATGAAAACATAACATTATAATTTATAACTATATGATTCGATATAATAGAGAACAAGAAAGTCCAAATTCTGATGACCATCTCCATAAGCTTAGTTATTTCTATCCAGACTTTTCTGGCATGGTAGTGATACATTTAATACACATTAACACATACATATGACATATGTATACATATATACTTATTCGTGCCCAAGCTATAGACTAATATAAATGAGGCAACCTCATTAAATTACATTTACTATACTAAAAATAAAATGGTCAATTATCATGATATCAATGTACTATTGAATATTGAGGGAGGAGTTTGCACTTAGCAGAGTAGCCAAAGGCTATGATAAAAAGCTATAAAAAGCCATGACTACCCCATGAGTAGCTTATGGTCAACTCCATAGAATAAAGATAATAATAATTTCCATCATAGATATTTACAGGAGTCAACGTCTCTAGTAGATATAACGGAAAGCAATAAAAAAAAAAATTACTTCTCAAATCGGCTCATAATTGCACAAAGATCATCTTGTTATTTAATTTTTTCTATTGGGTAAATTTACTGATAATTCTCTTTAATATATATGAAAACATGTCACAGAAGTCCATTATACATATCAGTAGGTATGGACATTATTATCTTGATTATATTTTCATTTTTAATAGGTCATACCAAAAACCTTACAGCCAAACCATAGACAAATATGACGAAAATTATACAGAATTATAGATGATTTTGAACACAACACATGATGGTAAATTATTATTTTAATTAATTTAAAATAAAAATTATCTAGTGCTTATGTAAATTTTATTTCTATTTAAAATAGATAAAGCTGCAGGCAATAAAACAGTAGAATCAAATTAATAATTATGAGGCTACTGATGATACTATTATGAACATTGACAAAAAGTTAACTGTTGATGTATATAACAGAGTATTTGATACAATATTATACAAAGTATGGAAAACCGATATACAAATAATAAAGAAATACTTATTAATCTAATATTATTATCACTTTTCATTTTGATTCATTTGTGAATGGACTACCTAAGAATGCTTTTGTTAAATTAATTGCAAAATTAAAACCATATTTTGACGAAGACAATGAAAATTAAATAAAAAATAAACTATCTGAAGAAAGTTTTTCAAAATCTTGGAAACACTTAAAGAAACCTGTAGATGATAAATATACTGCAGAACTGTACTTAAATAACAGTGTTTGGAAAGAACGTCATTCATGAACTCACATTCACAAGTTCATACTTAGTGAACAATAAGTAAACATCACTCGTTTTTTTCAAATTGAACGACATTTATAATTTAATAAATTTGAACAATTTTTAAGAAGCTCAATTTATTTTCCATTTTATAAATATATGTTTAAAATATATTAATTAATTATATTATATAACAATATTTTCTTCTTATAATTCATATAATAAAAAAATTTAATGAATGTCCTAGAGAACGCATTCATTTTTTCAATAAACTTGAATGTGTTCATTAGAAAAAACAAACGTGAAAGAGTTAATTTTTTTTAGTGAGCGTCCGAACACTGTTAACAGTGACACAGAAAATAAAGGTTAGATAACAACCGACGTATCAAAACCATCTAAAAATTGTAACACTCATTACAATGCATTAATTAAATATAATCTTTACTCTAATGCTCATCCAACATTATCCATTGCTTATCAGTATTTACTAACTTTGCCGGTAACCCAAGTGGCCAGTGAAAGGTCACTTTCTACTTTAAAATATTAAGAAAACTGTTTGAGAAATCCAATGACAAATGAACACTTTGAGTCTTTCATGTTGATGGCGATTGATCTACAAATTCTCTATGGTTTAGATAATATGATTATAAATAAATTCGATGAAAAATCCACATTATTCTCTAAATTACTCTTAAGTTATTAATTATACTTATTACTTGATGACATTTGTATATGTATGTTTTTATATATTAATATTAAATGAAAATATTAAAACAAAAAATGTATTTGTTAATTTTATGAGTTATTTAATGGATCAAAGTAACATTTTTTTCAAGTTTATGTTTGTTTGTTAGCCCTTAAAACATTCAGACAATGAGCAAATGGGAAGTCAAAATATGTTTTCTAGACCCGAAATTAAGATCTCCTCTGCCCCAGCTAACGTTCCAAAACATTTTCAACTTTATAATAAAATTGTGTAAAAATATTTTATTACATAAATTGAATGCTATCTAATTTAGAACAAAACATTTAACTTGGAAACAAAATATTCAAGGATATTAAAGCATAAAATCTCAATAATCTCAAAATTACTCATAAATCATAATAGAATTTTTTTCTCCATACTGTAACAAAGGTGTCAGTAACATTTTTCATTAACGTCAAAGGTCATAAACAGTATGACTATTTTTTTAGTGAGGAATTTGGAAGTTATAAATTAAAATATTAAAGATTTTAAATTTTTAACCGTGTTCACATAACAAAATATATTATACACTACAGTTTAAAAAAATATGTACAAATAACATGGTGTAACCATACATTTAACACTGTAGAATTCTGATTGTACAGGTACACTATTATGCACAAAGAACATGATTTAAGAATTACTAGTTTCACAATAACAACATAATAACTAAAATGCAAGGAGCACAAATGCACAATAATGTATTAATTTGGATTGCTCATATTTATTTTATTACAGCTTATATGGGATGACGATTTCCGCTGTAGCATATCCAAAAAAAAACTACTGGTAAAAATTGAAATTTCCATAAACATTTTTGCAGGCATATTGTTCTAGTATATAGCTTCATAGGTAAATTAGAATATCATGTTTCATTCAACAATAACTAGCAATTGTAATATCATTTTAAGTCAGTATTTGAATTTTATTTAATGATTTTTTATCACCAAAATACAAATTAAAGACCAAACACAAATATACAATATCAATTTTAATACGGTATTTCAGTCTTGCTGTAACAATTTATTTTGTTTGTTTTAAAAAAACATCAGAACATAAAAATGATAATATACCAACTAAAAGTAAAAAATAATTTTTTTAATGCTTAACTAGCATATTTAATGACATGATTAACCCAGCCATAATAATGAATTATGATATATATGATAGAGGTAGTTTTAAAAAGTATAAAATAGTAAAATTAAACATTATATTAAATTAATTAGATTTCAACAAAATTCCAAATTGACATCAATAGAATAATGCAATTTTGTTAAAATCGACATTAATTAAATGATAACTTATGTACATTGATTAGTTAACAATAATGTTTAACAACAGTATTTTCCATATGTTTTGACGTTTGGAATATAAAATCATGATTTTTTAATGCTTAACTTTGCATATTTTAGGATAATATTATAAACCAAGCAATAATAATGAATAATGATATCCGATAGAGGTAGTTTTAAAAAGTACAAAATAAAATATTAAAAAACTAAAATTTTAACATCATATATTAATTAGATTTCAACAAAATCCCAAATTAACACCAATCGCATAATGCAATTTTGTTAAAATCAATATTAATTAAATGCTAATTATTTACATGGGGACTAAGTCACAAACAATTTTTAATAACAACATTATTTTAAATTTGTTAAAATGTTTGTAAAATCAAGTCATGATAATAATGAGGATAATAAGAATAATTTTAATTATAATGATAATAGTAATGATAATAATAATTGTAATAAAAATAATAATAATAATAATTATTGTAACTGTAATAATAAAATAATAATAGAAAAAATTATAATAGTCGACAGTAAAATGTGAAAATATTATTTCCTGTAAAAATATTGTAGTTACTGGGAATTACTTTTTGATTCATCCATTAGAGATTGCAATGGTCTAAAGGAAAAAGAATGATTACTATTTGAAGAATCACCACTGCTACTACATGTGGAATCTGTAACTAAAGTTGCGCTCATTGTTGTAGGAACAATACCGGTCACTTGCATTGGTTCAGGCCTAAAATTTATTGAAATAATATTTAATAAAGAGTTAGCAAAATTAATAATGATTAACATGTAAGCATAACAAGTATAAGGATAAATACAAACAATACCTACATATTTTTTTTTAGAGTATCATTTGGTATCACTTCTACAGCTAACCAAAATAATGTTATGTCGAATCTTAGAGATTCTATTAAATAATAAAGACAGTCTTCATTTGACATGCATCTCATTTTTGAATTATTATACTAAGTACTTAAGAGTACACTACATGGACATATGCTGTCTCCGTCTTACAAGTGTGTAACATAACAAACGCTCAACCGTTAATAAACATAGGTTTAGCTCCTTTAGTTTAAAAATTAGAGTGAATCGACCTATTATGAAACTTAGTGGTAAGAACATTATCTATAAGTGGATTTTTACGATAATTCAAATTTTAAGCAAATTTTTTGTACATAATAAAGTGTAAATTAGAAATAGTCATGATTCACTTAAAAACTGAATTATCAAAAAAATACATTCCAACACAGATAACGTTCTTACCATCAAGTTTCATAATAGGTCAATTCACTCAAATGTTTAAACCAACGACACCAAATATGATCTTCTTAGTGTAAATTCGGTACGTTTCGCTCTTGTTAAACGGAGTCAACCCGTGTAACATCCTCATAGTTTAATCAAAACAAAACCTCGAGACTTAAATTAAAAAAAAATATTCTTATCATTTAATTTGTCTGTGTTATGTATTTATTATTTAATAAATATAGATTAACTCAGTGTTAATAGTGTTCTCCTAATTAAAAAAATGAAAGAATAAAATTAATTGTGTACCAAACAGTTTAAATTATTTAGTTAAATTATATGAGACAAGTGCTAATTCAATAATTGAAACTTAAATTAAAATATAAATAAGCATTAGCTTTAAGATGAAATATTTTATCAGAGCACAATAATCAACATTTTAATAATATGCGTACTGTACAGAACTTATTCGTTAACGCACTGTATCTTTATATGCACCTATATAAAAAGATACAACAAAATATAAAATTGTTTTAAATTTAAATTGACTAATGTTTAATTATTGTCAGTTGCACTAATTGAACGACAATGTAGTTTCATCAAAATGCATTTAATATTCTGATGCAAAATTATTTTGTTAATAAATAAATGGAATAAAAATGATATAACAAACCTATTATTGGTAATCAGCAATCCCCATTTCTTTGAAATTGGTTCATAGTCATCCATGTCACATTTCCTTTTAACAGGTCCTAAAGTGCTAGGACGCATTGAAATTGGACTCAAGCTTCGTCTAAAACATAAACTATGTAAACAATTATCAAATCTAAAATCTGTTAGCATATTAATATATTATACATAAAACAAATTGTGAGTATTAAGTATTTATAAATTCAGGCAATTACAGCAAGAGACACATTTATTTAAACTTTATTGTGCATTTTGTAGCACAATTAAACATCTTGACAATTCCTTACACGTTCATTAAGAACCGTTAAGGTTCAAGATAGATCTATCCATTTAATATTTTGGATGTAAATAAAAATATAAACAATTATAAGAATAATGTTATTAAAATTGTTAATGCAAATGAAAATGATATAACATAATTGTTAGTTCATTGAAAGTGGTTCAAACTTGAACAATGACTATTGCATTATAACGTTAACCTTTAAATAAAATATTTAAAAAATAATTACCCAGATGTAAAGGTTTTACGAGTTGGACTTGGCGATAAATTAGGTTTGAAAAGCGATGGTGATACGCAATGTCTCAATGATCTGGTTGGCGAAGGTGATGATGGAGCAGAAGTCATTGAAAAATTTAAATGCAGTGGATCATATATATTAGGTCTAACATGCATTCCACCTGGTTGTTTACCAAACTGTCCTTCATCTGGCTATAAAATTAAAAATATCATACACTTAATATAAATATCAGTTTTCTAATTAGGTATAGGTACAAGTTTTTGTATTAAAAAATTTAAATCCTGGCCAAAATGTTTAAAGATATTTATACCTCAAGTATCAATATACAAACACAATGTAATATCATTTTAATAGGTATTAATTGGTTATTGAACATTTTCATTAGTATTTATGTTTTAACTGACCACAACTAAAAGATAAATTTTAATCGAAGAACCATATTGACTAGTGAACACAAATCATAATACAGAACTATTAAATCATATAATAAGTATGTAGGAATAAATTATTAGACTACCTTTGTCGGTGAATCCATCATGATAGATAAATCTTCCCATGATTGAGATATTTGCATTGCAGAGTGTATTTCTCTTTCATGGGCCACTTCTCTATTAATCAAATCAACTGTTTCTTCCTGTCGCAGTTGATTAACTCTATGAACTAATTTTGGCGAAGTCTGAAATAAAGTTATTTATTTTAATATTTCAATACTTTTTAATAATTGAAGTTGTATATGTTAATATATTTCCAATAAATAGATATATTTTCTATCAGTACTAAATAATTTTGTTGTATGTATATTGTGTAAACATAAAAAGGGGATTTGATAACAAAATGTTTTCATTTTCATTCCATAAAACTAGACCCGTAAATGTAATACATTTATAATTTAATAAAAACCATACTAAAATCAAAAATGGGTAACTTAATATACACATATCATTTTTCAGATCATTTGAAAATTATATCAATTATTATTACATCAATATCATTAAATCAAGCTTACAACTAATGTTCTTTGCTAGCAAAAATTAATTTTGTAAATGTTTGAATTCAAATTCCAAAGATTGCCTCATAAACTACAGACAAAGATAAGTGCATATTATGTTGACAGAAGAACCATTAGTGACTTACATTTGGCATTACATTATGAGGACTTCCACTTGTGCTAAATCTACGAAAGCGTGGTTGTACTTGTACATTTCGTAAAAATATGTTACACGTATTTTCTCTGAAACAAAATAGAATCCAATTTAGTATAACGTTACATGATCATCATTCAGCACACTATTTATTGCTTGATTTTAAAAAATTTCTAATGGATACCTATTTATCGAAATGGTTTACATAGTTATTCAAAAGTTATTTAATACACCTGGCATAGGTAGCTGGACTAGAATAATAGTTATGTTCCAACACCAAACCAGGATTAAAATGTAAAAGGTCTTACTCAGTAATTGATGCTAGGTACTGAAAATATCTATGTAAACAATTCATTAAGTTAGTTAGGTACATACTGTAAGAACGGCATATAATAAAAGAGAAACGGTTATAATAGTAGACACCGGAGACTGTTAGAGTTACCGTCTGGATAATATAATAGTACCTACCTAGACAGAGTAGTGCATGGTAGTGACCCGACTATGGAAGCATTAATATCGTTGATCATCGGCGCACTGTTGGACCTTTTAAGATTTGACGGGCAGTCAACATCCATCTTGACGATAGGTCCGTCCTTGACTGACATCTCAATTTTCTAGCGAATCGGTAATAAACGCAGCCGACGTTTCGCACTAGACGATTACAACTAGACACGGTGCTCTAGCACATGGTCGTACCGCCGCAACAGTTGAGTGTGAAGTGCCAGCGAACACAGTGCCTTACGATTTATATGGTCAGATCGTCCGTGTCCGTGTCCGTGTCCGTGTCCGAGTCGTCGTCGGAGTCACCGTGTACCTCTTCGTCACCGAATTCGTCCACGGGGTTCACGGCAAACTGGATGATCGGCTCTCGCAATCGTTCGGCGGCCCGGGCTTCCGTCGTGACGGCAACAGTTAAATGATACCTGAACCGATCGGTTGCCAAAAAGAAGAGGAACGCTCCGACGGTGATGACACCGACACCGACGACGACGCGAGAGTCAAACGCGCTGGTCGACGGCGGCCGGTAGAACCGGAGTGACAAAAACTGGACGAGAAAGAGTGTCATATATTATATGTATTATTACGATTTTTCTAATGATAATAATGACATAATTAATAACAATATACGATGGGCACGTAAACGCGAGTGTGTGCGTTATTATAGAATATTGTTATGCGGGCACGCACGCACGCGGACAATTACGTACGGTCGCACGGAGACGCACATACACAGACACACACACGAGTGCGCGGACGGGCGGGCTCACGCTAAAACGAATTGTCCGGACTCCGGAGCGAGGAGAAATCGAACAAAACTTCGAGACGACGAGAAAGAAAAATACGAAACGTGCGCGCTCACTCGCGTGCGGTGGGGGGGAGGGGTGTTTGTTGACCGGCGGCGTGCAGGTTGCGGGCGGGCGGGCGGGTTGTCTGCTATCGGAAGAAAACGGTAACGGCGACGGACGAACGGAGCGAACGTGAATAATAATAATAATAATAATAATAATAATAATTGAATAATTAGCGAAAAGGAATAACAAATTAAACGGAATGAAGAGAGAGAGAGAGAGAGAGAGAGATAGCCAACAAGCGATTCTTATTAGAATTTATGTTATGCTATCTACGCGGTGCACCGACTACATCACATTTCGAATGGGGAAAAATAAAACATGTGTTGCGGTCGGTTCAAAATACGACTCGGTGCGATTGAGCAATATAGGCAGTGCGCACGCGCACAATTGTCTCTCCCGTCGTTATGCTACGGCTATGCCTGTTTTTCACACCACGCACAGCTGCTGCTGCTGCTGCTGCTGCCGCTAAAGACGCGATGTCGCGCGGCCGTGCGCGTGCGTGTAAGTGACCGAACCCGGCTTTATCACTGGCACGTTCCGACGTTCATGCTGTACGGCAACACGCCGGGCGGCTTGTCAAAAATTTCTGCCCGAGACCCGAATTTCTACCTACACGCATGGGTGCCACAACAATTTTGGATTAAATCCCCTTGTACTTTTCTCCAAATTTTTATTTTACAAAATGTTTGGATACCAAACTATTCCACTAGGCCAGAGAACCGTCTCTGTTCTCGTATACAATTTATGGTTTACCATTACATATTTAAATTGCTTGCATAATTAGTACATACATTTGCTGTCAACACTCCATAGAAATTATATCGTAGCATTGAGTATGCCATATTATACTCAATGATGATATTTGCACACAAACCGCTGTTAGCGACTCAATCGATTTTTTTTCTATTTTTCATAAAAATATAACAACATTTCAATTTTTTACTTCGGTATTTACAGTTTAAAATGATTAAGATAGGTATCTATTTCCTATAAGCGTTGACTGTACTGGAGATAAATAGTTAAACAATTTATCAAATTTAAAAAAAAAGTTCTTACACACAATCTAATTGTATTTTAAAAAATAAGATAATTATATACACAGTAACGTAGAGAGAGATAACAAAACAAAACTAGAAGTAACAATTATAACAAATTATTTTTACCGTATTTACCTACATAAATTAATAATAATCATACACAATACATTAATATTTAATACCATCGAGTAGGTATATTTGTAAGTATTATGTACTCATTACCTACCCAATATATGATGGGGGACAGCCGGTTCAGTCAAATTTAATATAGTATTTAACCTCGTACCTATAAATATTATAGTAATAAATACTAAATAGAACCTAAACCTACAGGAAAAAAAATCTCAATATTTTTTAATAGTTTTTTTGTGCTGTTTTGCCTTGTGGCCAATAAGAAAAAAAGTTATTAATAAGCTTGTTTGTACACTATATCTACAATCTATACGTGATGCAATGGATGTATTATGTCACCGTGATTGAAGATAATAAATTACCATGTATTTAAAACTTTAAACTGAACTAATGGAAAATAACTAATTATATAATAAAATAATTATTGTCATTCATTTCGGAAATTAAAATCCGTCAATAATATTCATTGCTCCAGTATCAGGTGACTAATAAACACGTTGCTTTCTAACGACTTGAAACCATGTACATTTTTTCTTCAAAACATTTATACTTTTTGAAATAATAAGCATAATGAAAAGATTAAAACATCACCCGTTATTAGCGAATATCAATCATAATATTATAAGTATAACTATTTGCACTGTACGCCTGTACGATTTAAAACATCAAGCAAAACATACAGCGTTTAACATTTAACAGCTACAGAGAATAGTGTTATCAAAATCAAATATATGAAAAAAAATGAAAATTAATATTTGAAGGATAAATTAATACAAGTGCGCAACCAAAAATAAATTATAATACAAGGCAAAAAAATATGCAAACGACAACATTTACGTTCATTTAAAAAACAATAATGTATAAATGTATAATCAATGGTATATAATGTATAAGATATATAATATGAAAAATTAACGTATATTGATATGTAGAATAGCATATATTATATATAGGTATTTTCAAAACTATTAATTTCTTTTACCTAGGTAGGTTCAATTTTTTATTTCACATGAATGAAACGTCGAAACCTAATATATAATTAAGAAACCTTTTTTTCATTTTAATAAGTAGAGGTGGAATATACATCTGCCATCTGGAATTATAAAGAGTAGTCAATACTATATTACAGTGTAAACTGTAAAGGTCCCCACACACTGCAGCGTTAGCGGTGGCACCTCCAAGGCTCCAAGACAATAGAATTTTGTACTTAGTTAATGATTTTAAAATAATTTCAACATCGATAATATTATCACTTTCAATATTAAGGATTGATAATTTAGAAAAGCATTCCTGTGTCATATTATACTCATATTAGATCTTAAATAATTATTTTTGATTCTTCTCATCGCCGAAAATGGCCGTTTACATGTATCAGAACTGACAGGAAGAATAATGGCTAATTGGATAATTTTAAAAAGATTTATTACCTTATCTGTTGATTTCATAGATAAATAATTTGGAACTTAAAAATAAATCCTTAAATCATTTGAAGTTTTTTAAAATAGTCTTCTTATATTTTCAAATTATTGGAAAAGATTGTAAACAAAGTCTATACGGAGTAAAACACAAATGTATAATTTCGATTGGAATGCATAAAAAAATAGAACTATAATTACTTAACAAAATAAAAAAGAGACAAGTACCTACCACATTATACTGATTTATAAGTACCTAATGAAAACATTTCAAAGTTCAATTTTAATAAGTTATTTACACAAGTAGCAATTTTAAAGCACTCGTCAGAAAATCGTTTTTTCTCTTTTCTATTAATAATAGTATCTGATACTGGATAAAAAGCATTTATCTTCCAATAATCATTTTGTTCTAATGTAGTTGTACTTATTATATTATCATTTATCAGTTTGCTGATTATTTTCAGCAGAAGTTGATGACATAACCACATAGTTTTTGAGATTATTCTACTGTCTTTTACTGCTATCCAAATAAAATATTATTTGAAAAAAGAAATGTATGCCACATACCACAAAAACAATCACGATAAGAATGTGAGATAAAGTCTTGGATAAATAACGATTATTTGTTTTTCCGTTGTACAATTTGCAATGTACTGTGTATAGCTGACAAATTGGCACACGTGTAATGTGAATTAATATTTAATACAGACGTTTTATATTATATTAAAGTACAAACGTATTAAACACGTTGATGAAACGTAGTTTTACATCACATTATTATGATGCCATCCATATTATATTTTGGTTTTTAAATACCTGCTTATTTGTTAACATATTGATCTAAAAAAAGTAATGACATTTAAAAAAATCCAAATCAATGCCTTTCTCGGTATAGCCAATTAGAATTAGATATCTTGGAAATCATTTCAGTCGGAAAATTTCTCGGAATACCGTTATCCACAGCCATTTGAGGTTATTTTAAAAAGTATAGAAAAATAGTTTAAGTATGATCAACCGATTTACCGTTCGTCTAAATACAGTCATTGTTGCAGCACCGCCATGATTCGCCCATAAAATATTATCTAATTTTTTTAGGTACCTGTAAATTGTAATGGAAGTTCTAGCAGCTAACTGATTTTCGTTTAACCCCTTCTCAGCCAAAATAGATTGACATCATACTTGTTGAATAAGTAATAAGCAATTGCTTATAATTAATCAAAATATTTTTATGTCATTGTGTACAGTAAAATTTATAATGTACGTACAATTGTTAAGTCCCCAGTCTCCACTAGCCCTCTCAAACATGAAATAATGTTTTTAAATTACAGCGAAATAATTATTGAAAAAAACAGTTTGCATTGTATTAGGAATTTTCAACGTTTCTGCTAAATTTGGATTTAAAGATGAATCATTTTATATACCTCTTACGATAAAACAATTCAGAGCGGAGACTGTCTATCAGTCATATATAGGTACTCATATTGATCAGATATATAATAACTACTGTGAAATAATAGATTAAAAAAATCAACTATTTGTTTCTTATTAAATTCATATACATTATTATTGACATAGTAATACACATTTATTATATTTACAGTTGGTTTGTTTTTATAGTATACACATATTGACATTGGAATCTCAGATATAATATAATATATACCTATGTGGCTATATGTGTTATGTTACACACATTTTATGATAGGATTATTTTTTCGGGAGCTTTATTTATTAGGGGATTCATATGTATAAAAGTTTAACAAGCTTATCCTGTATTTACGTTTTGAAATATTTGAGCACCCCTAGGTTCAACTCATTTTTGCCAATACCGACGCACGTACCGAAATGGTGTAAATATAGGCTTGTCGTTCATAAAACAGATAGCTTTAAATTAGTTTAAAATATATTTTTAAATGCCATTGTGTGAGTATTAGTATATATATATAATAGAAATAATAATAGATATACCTACGTCATCGTCATGGTCAAAAGTTTCTAAACTGTGATTAATAGTTTTTTTAATTCCCTATATGGTTAACTGTGATGTTACTAAATTAATTACTGAAAAAATCATTATTTTTTGTTTAAATATCTGTTTTTTGTTCTACGAATTTTGTAAATATTTTAACTTCAGA